ATGTTTCTCCTTTTAGAACATATAGGCGTCTTTCTAGAACATATACACATGTTGACATGAAATACTCGAGATTCTTGTGATCCATATATATGGTAACTAGACTGGAAGCGCCTTCTAAATAATGACGCCATTCTTAAAAAGAATCCATGATTACAAAAAGTTCTTTGTTATGGATCTCATAATTGATTTATGCCTCTGAGAATTTTCTTGAATGAAAGGCTATTGGATGAAGTTTGTCATCTGTTCCCATTTGTGACAAAACTGCACCTAGAGTAAAGTCTGATGCATCTGTTTCCATAAAAAAACACTTTGAAAAAATTAACATGATATAAGAATGGTGCAGAAACAAACGCTGTCTTCAAAGATTCAAAAGCAACTTTCGCTTCTTGATTTTATTGGAGTTTGTCTTTGCAAGTCAAACATGTAAGTAGAGCTGCAACTTGAAAGAAGTCTTTGATGAAGATCCGATAGTAGTTGGCAAATCCCAAAAAGCATTGGATATCTCTTACTATTTTTGGGATCTTCCAATCTATAATAGTTTGAACTTTCTTAGGATCCATCATAAGTCCATCATTTGAAATGATGTAACCTAAGATATCGACTTGGGTAGTATAGAATATACACTTTTCTATCTAGGCATAGAGTTTCACATCTCTTAATTTTTGTAACACATGACAAACATGAAGTTCATGTTCTTTTGGATTCTTAGAATAGATCAAGATGTCGTTTAGATAACAGACTACAAAATCATCCAAAAACTCTCAAAAAACATCATTCATTAGATGTTGAAAAGTTACTGGTGCATTTGTAAGTCTAAAAGGCATGATGTTGTATTTAAAATGTCCATACTTAGTTCAAAATGCAGTCTTCTATTCATCTCCTTCTTTAATGCATATTAGATTATATGCTCTCCGGAGATCTATTTTTATATAGATTTTAGCTTGATTCAGCTAATCAAAAAGTCCAGATATTAAAGGTAGTGGATACTTGTTCTTGATGGTAATCTTGTTGAGTCCTTGATAATCAACACACATTTGCAATGATCCAGCTTTTTTCTTCACAAATAGAATTGGAGCTCCTACCAGAGATTTAGAATGGCGTTTGAAATTCTTGGCTAGATTTTCTTCAATATACTCCTTGAATTCAGTCAACTCATTTTATAATAAATTGTAGATTGGTCCAAATGGCAGTTGTGCTCCTTCTTCAAGGTCAATTGAGCAATCATAGGGACGATTTTCCGGGAGTGTATCTACATTCTTTTTTTCAAATACATCTTGAAATTCTTGATATTGGCTTGGAATGCCACGTGAAGTCTTTGCATCGTTAAAAACAGATGTGGCATAAATAATATATGGTGATTCTTTTATAGCAGCATGCAAGAAAGCTTTTGCACCTATAAATACAGATTTAATTGAACTGGACTTATGATTCTCTACTTGATTAACTACACTAATAGTTATACTTTTAGAAAAAGTAAGAGTTTGGAAAATCCAATCTATTTGAGGGTTGTATTTTTTTAACCACGATAAACCTAAAATGATTGAATTAGAGGGAGATCTAATGATATTAAATACTACATAGCTATTATAACCATTGATTATTACTTCTATAGGAAGGGTTTCATGAGTAATATCTCCAAAAGACAATAGACGACCATCTATGACTTCTACATGAACAGGTTTAGTTTTCTTTATTAAAGATATGCTATGTCTTTTAATAAATTCTTCATCTAACAAACACGTTGAGGCTCTTGAATCTAACAAGGCATAGGCTTTGTAATATTTAGGTCTTAAAATAATATTTAATATAAAACAAGGAGAGGATTCTGAGGAGAGAATAGGACCTTTACTATATGATGTGTAAGGTTTTAGCCGCACCGTCCCTATTGTAGCTAGACAAATTTGTTTTTCGACATATTGTCTTCTTTGACAGCCATACTCTTCATTTTGTGGTTGCATCGTTTCTTTGGAAAATTTTGAGAAGTGTGTTTTGGTTCTCCACAATATAAACATAATCCTTCTTGACGAAGACAAGTCTTTTCTTGTTCAATAAGAGGTTTGAAATATATTGCATCGATTTACATATCTTTTACTTCTGAAGATATGTATTGAGAAGATGTAGGTATTGCCATTGAATTGTAATAATATTGAGGCCTACTTATCTGACTCTCAGATCAAAATTCAAAAAGTTGATTGTCACATTTTACAGCAAAATCAATTGCTTGACTCAATGTTTGAGGATCGGATAAATTGAGAATCAATTTTTTTACCTCATATTGTAGTCCATAAAGGAATTGGTTAATGAGTGCAGCATCATCCTACTTGATATCAATCACAAGTTGTCAAAATTATCAAACATATGTTGTTACAGATCGATTTTTTTGTCACAAGATATGGATCTTATTTGTTGCAACACGAACTGTATCATGTTCTCCATACATAGATCGAAATTCTACTAAGAAAGGTTTTTAAATTATCCAATATTGGATCTTGTCGTTCAAAAAAAGATGAAAAATCATGATAATGTAGAACCGAAAAGTAGTGTTCCAATAAACCTGACTTGTGATCCTAGAGCTGAATAGCTTTGGGGTTGAAGTTTGATTGTCAATTGTACTTGATTGATGATTCTTTGAAACTTTGATCTCGTACCATCAAATTTCTCAGATGAGGTAATTCTTGGTTCTCTAGCATTTGAATGGTGTTCTACCATGGAAGAAGGGGCATGATTCGATGTAGATGTTGAGGCAGCTTTGACCATCTCTACATCTCTACTTTCTGTTATTCTTGTTCCTGCTTCTGTTGGTGAATTAAGTTGATGCATCATAAGTATTAATTGCCTCAGTTGTTCTTGCATTTGGATCATTACACTCTTCAATTTGACAAGCTCTGCCATGGTAACACCTAGAAAAAAAAATGTCTAATATTGCTCAAGACAAGTAAGAGAATGGACTTAAGAATAAAGAAAATACTAAAAATAATATCAATTTAAAAGAGGATAATCTACAATTCTTAATACACTTATGTCTTATTAAAAAAAAGGGATAATCCACTCTTAATCAAGAAAAGACAAAGCTCTGATATTGTAAGTGTATTCTTGTCAATTTTTCAAGGATAAAAACTCGATGAAAAAGCAATTCAGACAAGTGAGCCTTTACTCAAAGAAAGGTAACAAAATATAAATAAATAAGTATGTATATTGAAAGAGAAACTGGAATGGCTATTACCAAAGACTACAAAACATTAAGACTCTTGAAACTAGACTGGAAACAAGCAAAGAGTTGACAAGAGTGAAGAAGGCTTCATTCTTGTTTATATATATATTATCTAATTAGGAACTATGTGGCGACATTCTATAGGACCTCCAATATGTATTGACTCTGTAGGACACATGCCTTGACTTACAAGGTAAGTTTTTTTACGTGTGGGCCACATTGTTAGCTTGGTCTTCAAATTAACAACATGTGTGGCACATGGCCAACTTATTGACCACGTTTCTAATCCAAAAAGTCAATTAAAGACAACTGTAAAATCAAAGCAGTGTCTATGAAGCTTCTAAGAAGCTACTATATCAAATACTATAGAATTAACTTACTTTTATTTACTTTTACTTACTTCTACCTATTTATATATGTAATTACTGACTTACATGAGTATGTTCATGACATTGCCCTCTCTTTAAGAAGGTCTTCTTTTACACTGCCAAAAAATAAGTGACGTAGGCTTAGGCCAATTGGTGTCAAATTGCCAAACTATAGAATTATGACATATGGTGTACTATCCATATGTAACCTCAGTTGGCATGGCTATAGTGTCTATCAGCTATAATTCAGTGAAAAAGGTTGTAGTTGAGAAGTGAAAAATTATTGATCACATCCAAAGAAGACATGCTACCATCTTAACAGAACTCTACATAGATCTGTGACTAATTTTTTATTTCTATTAATAATAGAAATCACTATACTAAAGTCAAAAGAAGGCTTCACCACTACAAAAAAAATTTCATTAATATAGAAGAGATAGTAAGTTTTATAAAGCTTAAGTATGACATATTTTTATAAAACAAACATATTCTTCAATTTTGACATAGCTAGTATAAAAATATTTAACAAAGATTCCACTTAATGAGAAATTTTTCTTATTAGATGAAGAGAACATTGTACACTTGACTCAATAACACAGGTACTCTCATTGATGCACATACTAGCCTATTTTGATATAGTTAGTAACCCAATTTGTGTTTTGGAAGGTACAAATAATGGCACCTATATTTCTCGTTCAACCCATAAATAAAAAGTGGCAGTTATTCAAAGAGAAATAGTAAGAGAAATAAAAATCTGATCATACTAAGCTTGCATTTTGTACCTACATGATGTGATTCATTGGACAAACTTTGAATCACCAGAATGCTTGTCCCTATTTATTCCTTTTTTCCAACTTATTACAGTGTAGTATGACATCCTAAGTGTTGTCGACACATTTTTAAAGTCAAGACATATACATTCATATTTACAGCAGAGGATAATGATGGTTAAACGATGCATTTATACTTTGCAAATAGTTAAGTATTCGAAATGAAAACACTCTTCTAACTCAACATCCAACGATACTATATCAATTCTCTCAAATCATTTGAGATAAGGTGATATGAGGTACTACTTTGTTTGTTTGTTTGTTTTTCTTTCTTTCTTTCTTTTTATGTTATTTTTCACTTCTTCTGTCACCAGCTTCTATCACTTGCAGGTGGTCACCCAAGCCAATCAAATCCTTTGTTGTTGTTTTATCTTACTCCTGATACCAATGTTAAGTAGATGTTGTAAGCCATGTCTATGTACGCGTGTGTGTGTTCAATGCAGTTGGGTACACCATCGTTTGTTAGTAGGCTCATTATCGTCCATTGGATGATACAACCCATCAGTGTTCTTTTCATCTAAGCTATCCAGGGTTTCAAGCGCACCACAAATCCTTGACCTCCTTCGACCCCTTAATCACTTCCCTTCGCCTTCTCGCTGTGAAACCCTGTCGTGTGCTCTCCCATCACTTCTAATCGCTCGAATCTGCACTTACAAACATGACGCATGCAAACAACGTGACATCTCTGTGACACATGCAAATGACGTGACACCTCTTTGTCGTACGTAAACATCATGAGAGCGAGGAGCGGCGGATGGTAGGTAATCCTGTGGTTTTCTCTTTTTTTGGTTTCGAGATTGTTATGATGGCTTTCTATATTTCAAGTGTGGTGATCGAGGTGATGCTTGGAAGCCAGACAATAGCGTTGATCATAAGCTCATGTTTGGTGTATCCCATGCAAGCGCATGAACAATCAAGAGGTTTTGGGTTTTTTAAGAAGATTGAATATTATAGATACTGGAAGTAATGATGTTAATCTAGCAGAAGTCCAAACCTTTTGCTATTGACTTGGGCTGTCTGGCATTCTTGCGTTGATGTGTACTCAATATTTATTTGTCTGTTTATTAATTTTATAATTTCGGCTTCAGAGATGAGGATTGGCAAGAAGATGACAAGGCATTGAACAACATATCACAATTGTATCCTGGTTAGACTTGTGCGCAATCGAATTGCGAGGTAGGAGCGGATCTGAATGATTTATAGGACGGAAGACTTCTATAATCTGGAATATGGTGAGATCACCTTCAAACTTGTTCATCTACGAAGATTCTTAGTTTATTTTGAGGATTGAGCTTTCTTTGACTCATAGTTGCAATCTCTTTGTGTCACATGTCTTGAAAGATTTAATGTGCTCAATCTGTTTGTGTCATATATTTTGAATGACTAAGTGTTCTCAACAAAAGATTTAACTTGGGGCTCTTCCACTGTAGGTAATGCTGAACTTTAGTTGGAGATTACATTATACTTGCAATACTCTTGATTGAACTGTCAACAGAACATCGTACTCAGATTTGGTAACCTCCCAATGAGCTTTACCGAGCTTGTTATTAGAGTCAACCCACCAATTGCCTCGAGATAAGAAATTTCTCCAGTGTCACCGATCAATCTCAATACGAAGGATGACATAGGAACGACTGCACGAATCTCTTTCGTAAGAGCAAAGTGTCACGAATATCCGAGATAAGTAGCAAAAAATAGCACTTTCACCTTTGAAGAGGAACACGTGAAGCATAACTGCGGTTGTCCAAACCAACCAACGAGTAGAAACTTCCATTCACTTGTACCATGTTCTGGAAGACCACGTCTTTCTCCATCGATAACAAGTCCAATTTGGAACGACACTTATTAAATAACGTCATCCTAGGCAAGCATGTGATAGACAGAAGAATGAGGAAAGGCGATCCTAGATACTACTTTTTTCTGTTTTATACTTTCTTCTTGTATTTTTTTTCCGCTTCTATCTCACCATCTTTTATTTCATGCAGTTGGTCACCGAAGCCGGATGAATCCTTTGTTGTTTTTTTTATCTTACTTCTGATACCAATATTGAGTAGATATTGTAAGCCCTGTGTGCGTGTGTGTGTGAAGTGTTGAATACAGTAAGGTACACCATCGTTTGTTAATAGGTTTATTATTGGGTCACCTCGGATTTGCTTGAACTAGTCTCTTGCATTCATTGTTGAATTTTGAATTTTGGAGTAGAAATCATCGTGTTGGAGCCTCGCCATCTTTGCTTTCGGACGACCCAGAATCAGTCAAATTAGAGTTAGAACAAAACTTTTTGGCAACAATTCAAGTGGTAAACTGCTCCTTCGCACCTTGGAGTATCCAACCAACTTATGAGAGAAGCAATGATGAACTGTGAAATATTAGATTGCTACAAATACTGGTGTTATTAAACTTCAGCAACAAGCAAAGGATTGTTCCAGCAGTTGGTGTCGTAGTCTAAAGTGAGAAAGTGCATTACTTTTCCTTTTTTGTAAAAATTTCCTTATCCTCATTGGTTTTACGAGTTACTATAAATCACATAATCTGGTTTATTTTTAAAACTAGTTCAGTCAAGAATCTAGTCATGATACATTTCAAATTTGTCTCAACTATTGTAAATTATCTTCATTTATACTTAATTTGGATGTTTGTCTTTGGTACATCGTTGTTTATTAGTAGGTTCATTCTCGTCCCTTGGATTATATAACCTATTAGTGTTTTGTTCATTCTGTCCAGGGTTTCAAGCAATCCTTACAGCTTCACCCACTGCGTCCCTTGTATACTTCCCTTTGCCCTCTCGCAGTAAAACCCTTGTTGCAGTGTGCTGTCTTCTCGCTTTGAATTGCTGGAATTTGTGCTTAAATACATGATGCTATGACATCTTTGTGCCGCATACAAACAATGTGAGAGCGAGGAGCCATGGATGGTAGGTAGTGATGTGGATTTATTTTTGGTTCCTAGATTGTTATGATGGCTTTCTGTGTGTTTCTAGTATGGTGCTCGAGGTGATGCTAGGAAGCCAAATAATAGAGTTGATCGTAAACTCATGTTTGGTGTATCCCATACAAGCGCATGATCAATCAAGAGGTTTTGGATTTTTTTAAGAATATTATAAGAATATTGATTGAATATTGTAAATATTGTAAGTTATGATGTTAATCTAGCGGAAGTTAGATTGACAAGAAGATGACTGTGCATTGAACAACATATCACAATTGTATCTTGGCAAGGCTTGCATAGGATTATGAGATAGGAGTGCTTTAAAGGACGGAAGAGTTCTTAAAGTTGGAGTACTAAGAGAACATCTTCAAACTTGTTTATTTATGAAGATTTTGAGTCAATTATGCCATTTGTTGCATAGGGTGGACTTTTCATTGATTAATTATTTAATTTGTATAATGAGTGATTTAGGAAACATAAAGGATTGGAGAAAGAAAGCTTATAAACTTAATAAGAAGATTAGATATTATTTTAAATAGAGTAAAGTTATGGCATATCATATTTATAATAAAATGTCAAGAATTAGTGTTATTAGATAATTATTGAAAGATGGATGGGATGTTGATGAGTAAGCAAAGGAGCATACTCAAGAATCCATTGCTAGTTTTATTTTGAGGTATGTACATCATTGATATTTATTTTGTGTAGATTATGAGATGTTTGAGATGAATGTTTATGTATTTATATATATATATATATATAGATAGAAATATTTGTTATATAGAAAGTAATAAGAGATAAGAAAAAATCATAAAAAAGAATCACAAATGGAATTAGAGATTTATTTAGACTACATAAAGTTTATTAGTATCATCTTTGTTACATTGAATTTTTTGGTGATTAAAATTTATTGAAATATTATAAAATGTATACTAAGGTTTTATTCATGTGATTGAAGGTGAATTATATATAATTTTCAAATATTTGCAATGGCTTATCTTGTAATGATGTTTATGAAGTATGTCTTAGTAATGTGGAGGTTTTTATTTGGTTGTTGTACATTGGGATTTGCACTTGCTATGGAATCTTGTAATAAGCTTGTAGAGGATATTGAAGTTGTACTCAAAGCAAGAGAAGTTGATATTGGAGATAAACTTACTCAATGTTATAATTACAATAAAAAAATAGAGGTGTTATTTAAGACAAAAGTTGTATTGAATAAAAAACAATGTGCAAATATTTGTCAACCACTTGGCTATGTTATCAAAGTATTTGAAGTCTTGAAAGCTTCTTGCAATGGAATAAGTGAATGTAAAGTTCTATTTTATGAATTTCAATAAACAACATTGAGTATATACAAGTTGATAAAATCTTGTACACAAGAACAATGGTGTAAAGCAAGTATCTTGTAAATAGAAAACAAAGAAATGTTTAGAGAGTTGTTATGGAACTTGAAGACTTGTTATGATGTGTGAATTGATTTAAAATCAAAAGAAGTGTCCAAATACGATAGAAGACATTATACTTGTATTGTTTGATGTTTCAATTCATGAAGAAGTTAAACATGATGGTGAAGAACTTTTCAAAAGTTTGGACCATAAAAATAAAGATATTCAATTTAAAGACCATGAATTGGTAAACTATCTATTAATAAGATTAACAAACTTGTGGCATGTAGATGGTGGAGAGATAGTTTCTTTGGAAATATCAAGTGATATCAAAAGTTTAGAACTTGGGAGAATTATAAATAGGGGTGCTTTTGGAAAAGTTTATGAATCAAAGTGGTTTGGACTTGCAACTGCATCAAAAATAATGAATGCTAGTTGTGATTGTTGTTTTACTTATTCCGGAAGAAACCTCCCAGAATAAACTCATATAGGGGAATTCGAATATAGAGAAAGACCATGTATATGAGCTCCAATTATTAGGATCACACAGTTAACTGCTATTGTTGAATGCTTATCATATCAAAGAACACTTAACTTTTCCTCCTACTGTCCACTCTCTCGTATCAATATGATAACAACCACGACATCAATTTCAGTACCCTGTGTAATTCACAAACACACAAGCATAATCCAAACCTTGGAACAAATAACTTTTAATCCAGAGAATCTGATCGAGATAATTCCTTCGATTATAATTCCTCTCCACTGAACTTGCAACCTTGCGATAAACAGTGAGTAGAAACTTCCATACATCATCAATCTTTTACAACAATTGATAAACAGTGATCTATAAATAACTTTATAAATCAAATATTGACTTATTAAATCGATTTTCTTCACTAGAATCAATACTAACACAAAAGAAACAAGAAAATTAAGAAGAAGAAATAGCACCAAACTTATCCCCGGCTCATCACTATCACAGTCTAGCATTTTCTTCCTCCCATCCTTCTTACACTACCCCGAGATACCAATTCCTATACTATGGATAGTAACTACTTTTCTTAACTATTCATCCATTCTACCTGCTGAACCACCTTTTCAGCAGTTATCTATTCTTGTTTACACTATACACTAGGTAACTACATTTTGAAAATAACTACTTATTCTACATACCCCCACTTCTAACTGTGTAGCGTCCCCACAAACACAGTATTGATAAACAAAAACCAATTTTTTTTTTTTTTTTTTTTTTTTTTTTTTTAACTAGATTATTCAATCTCTTCAATTTCTGGCACTAGATCCATTTGGTCTTGTTCCAACACTATATCTTCTTCTTTCGACTCGTCCTCAATCTTTGCCCTTAATTGAGCTGTTAAATCTTCACTATACGCTCCCAATTCTCAAACCTGAGCTTCCAATTGGAGGATTTTGGCATCTTTAGCTTTCAATTGTTGCTGCTGCTGTTACAATTTCTCCTCCAATTTTCCAATTCTTACTCCCGTTGAGGCAAAAGTCTGTGATTGACCAATACTGACCAAATTACTCTCCAATTTCGTTACTATTTCCTTCAAAAGAACAATTTCTACTTGTAGCTCATCCATTTTTTTTCGATATTAGTCACCTAATAGTTTCTTTTTAAGCTCCAATGCCTCCTTCTCTCGTTCCATCTTCAACTGAGTGTTCATCTTTTCTTGTTCCAATCTATATGATTTGCGAGTTTGTAGTAATTCTTGTCTTTGATTTTCCAAGATATGCTGAATCTTCTATTTCTTCTTTATCCAGTTTTCTACTCTCTCATCCAATTCACGCTTCACTCGCATCTTGGATTCTGATTCTACCTTAATTACTTGTTCCTGTTTTCTGATTTTATAATTTTGCTCCAATATTATTTTCTTTTTCGCTTCCACTTGTCTTTTTAAGCTACCCTCATCTTCAAGCTTACTCACTGTAAGTTGCAGCTGGGAAATTTGATCCAATATAACTTCCTTAAGATTCTACCCTTCCGTTACATCCCATTGAAATCCTAATTAGTTGCTTTTCCTTGGAACTGGTATTGGTGTCGTCATCTCTATTATCGACCGAATTGAAACTTGTTCTAGTGTAGATATTGGTCTTGCTTTCCATTCTGCCGCTCTGTTGGATTCTTTCACTTCATACACTATTACCCTTGGACTAACTATTTCCATTTGTAAACTTGGAATTACTGGTTGAGATTCCTATTTCAATATATATTCAATCAATGAGTTTACATAATTGGAATATAATAGTGAAGCAAACTTCCTCGTCTTCCGCTTAGCTTCTATTTCTACATGTATCCTTGTGGCCATATAAGCTGTCCAATTGAATACCATGCCTTCCAATGTTCCTATCGCTAAAAATAGTAATTACTTTGCCATGTAGGTGGTATGCCGATTCAATGCTAACTACTTCTGAACGAACCGCATCCATTCCATAAGTTTGGACGTAAGTATCTCCTATACCTTCTATCATTGATTTCGCTCGAGAGACGACATTTTTCCTTTGAAGTAGCTTCCTGGCCTGAAATCATTTGACACGTCTCTTCCCACCTCAAGCTCTCTGATTGGTAAATACAAGATCTTGTGTAAGATATTCTCATCTATCTCAATCAGGACTCCTCTTACCACACTCGAACCATCCTCTGGATCATAATTTTTTATATATTTTGTCACTCGTTCTACATCAATTGGTGGTAGTTTATCCGATCCTCACAAAAATGTAAATAAGTGTGCATTTCTAAACTCTTTTTGCCTTTTCAATGACCAACAGATATCTAACTTTATTGGTTCCATGTTGATGATAACTACAAAAGACGGCGATCTCAGATCGCACTTAGACCTCACATTGCGATGATTTTCCGATCGTTCTGATACTCTCTTTGCTCTTTCCATCGACATTGTGAAAATCAAACTCTCAATACTTCCTCGTGCTAACACTATTGCTGATTACTGTCGTAAAGCTTACAGTTCAAAGCACAATGTCTAAAATTTGCAACAATAAAACCTTCTATGAGTGCCTTGCTCCTAACTGCTTACTTGGGATCCAAATTAAGAACATCTAATCCAATGTACCTTAATCTCATGTCTAATCAAGAATGTCTAATTTCTCGACTAGTCAGT